AATCTGCCAACTAATCTTTTGTATTTAGTTGGATCATTCAGTATAACTCTATATGTAGAAGTTAGCTTCAAATTTTGTTCTATTAGAAACTTTCCGGGCCTTGCTCCTAAGATTCCTAAATCTTGTAGAATGTCTACTGCATATTTTCTCTGAGACATAAAGATGCATTTCTTTGAACGAGAAAACTCAATGCCTAAAAAGTACTTCAAATCTCCAAGATCATTAATGAGGAAGTGTTGGGAAGAAACTTTTTGATTCGTTCAATTTCTTGAAGATCATTTCCTCTGAGAATTATGTCGTCAACATAGATAAGTATTGTTGTGAATGATGTACCTTTTGCCTTTGTGAACAGGGAATAATCATCCTTTGATTGTTGAAAACCAGCTTTACGAATAGCTTCTGAAAATGTGAGAAACCAATTTCTCGATGCTTGCTTAAGGCCATACAAGAATTTGTGAAGCTGACATACACTGTTCTCCCCCTTCAGCGAAGACCTGGTGGAGGTTCCATTTACACCTCGTCATGTAAGTCTTCGTGAAGAAAAGCATTTTGAACATCTAATTGATAAGCGAACCAATTTCTTGCAGAAATAACTGTAAATAGACAACAAAGTATCGTGAGTTTTATTATAGGAGAAAAAGTTTCTTAATAGTCGATTCTCTCAATCTGAGTATATCCCTTTCCGATAAGATGCGTCTTATAACACTCAATTGTTCCATCCGATTTGTATCAGATTTTATAAACCCATTTTCATCCAATAAGTTTCTGACCATCACGGAGTGGAACTAAGCTCCAAGTCTTATTTTGTTTTAGTGTTTCTAATTCTACATTAATGGCTTGTTGTCAATGTGGATCCAGAATAGCCTGAGCATGTGAAGAAGGCTCTGTGTGACTTGTAATGTTAGCTGAAAAAGTACAATGTGTTGAAGATATGCAAGAGTAAGAAAGATAATGAGAGAGAAGACATTGAGCACCTGATGTTGAACTTGGCATGGTAGAAGATTGATTGACTTGAGTTGGAAACATGCAGTCTTTATGCCTTTCGAGAGTTTTTTTTAGACGAGCAGATTGTCTTAAAAGAGGGAATGAAGGAACCACAACATCCAAAGTAATTGGAACAGTTTCAAGGATTTCAGCTGACGTCAGAGATTGAACGAGTTGATTGGGATTGGTAAGATTGTCAACTGCTATAATTTTAGATTAGGCAGGATTGCTAAAAATAATTTCAGACTGAGAAGGATTGCTAGAAATAATATCATATTGGATAGGATCGCTAAAAATATCCTTTGTAATCGTGGGTTCTTGATATTCTACTCTCTGAATGATATTAGGTTGAGAAAAAAATGGTGGAGATGACCAATTGTCAATTTTGCTAGAAAAGGATTGAGGTGATAATAAGGTCGAAGTTGGAGTAACTGTATTAAAAGGAAAGATTGTTTCAGAAAATTTGACATCACGACTTACAAAAAATTGTTTGGTTTCTAGATCATAAAGCTAGTAACCTTTCTGACCAGTAGGATAACCATTAAAGATGGAACGTTTGGCCCAAGAATCAAACTTTTATCTATGTTGAACAACAGTAGCATAGCACAAACAACCAAAAACTTTTAGGTGACTAAAGGATGGTGATCTATGATATCGCGATTCATAGGATTGGTAATCGGTTAATAATATAAACAACAGTCAAAACACATTCGCCCCAAAAGATGATTGGCAAATAAGCTTGAAAGCGTAAAGCTCGTGCAACATTTAAAATATGACGATGCATGCGTTCGACTACCCCATTTTATCATAAAATTGAAACACAAGTTCGTTGATATTCGATTTCATGAGACCGAAAAAAATTTCATTGGTTCAAATTCTTTGCCATTGTATGTCCTAATTTTTTAATTGAAGCATGAAATTAATTTTTTGTAAGTGATACAAAAGATTGCAAAAATGAGAAGTTTCAGACTTGTATTGCACAAGAAATAACTAAGTACATCTTGTAAAATCATCTAAGATAGCAAGAAAAAACTGAGCCCCTGAATTAGTAGGTACTCGATGTGGACCTCAAACATCGCGATGTAACAAGTCAATTGCAGAACAAGTAGATATATTACTCAATGGAAATGCAAGCCATGTCTGTTTAGCCAAAGGACAAACATCACAATTATTATCAAAGGAAACACTACGAGAAGGTAATAGTGGAACAATTCATCTGAGGCAAGAAGGTGAGGGGTGTCCCAGACACATTTGCCATAAGTTTTTTGATTGTGAAACTTGACGAGAAATGGGTGGTTTTTGTACCGATGACATATAATAGAGACCACCTGCATGATGTTTACCCGAGCCAATCATCCTCCTCGTACCCAAGTCCTGCAATACAAAAAAAGTGAGAAATAGAAGGGCACAACAATTTAAGTCATTGGCAAGTTTACTAATCGACATTAAATTTAAACGAAAAGAGGGAACATGCAAAACATTGCTTAAGGTAATGTCTAAGTTAAAGGGAATTGTGTCAATGGAATGAATTGATACTGGTGACCCATTGGGAAAATTGAGAATGGGTATAGGGGATTTTGTTTGAGTGAAGAATGTGGAATTGGAAGTAATGTGATCAGTTGCTTCGCTATCTAAGATCCATGGCCTAGTGAATGCAGAATTAATTGAAACATTATGAAAAAGAGATAAACCTGCTGCATTTGCATAGGTATCGCTATTACTGGCAGAGTTATTATTTTGAGTGAACAAGCGTACTGCCTGAGCAATCTTCCGAAGTTGATATGCTGAAAATTCATGTGAACTGCTGGCATCTTGCGAGTGAACCTCTTTCTTAGATTGAGAAGATTCGATCACATTAGCAACATGAGAAGGATTACCTTGAGATCCATGTTGTTGTCGATAACTTTGATTTCCTGAGTTGTTGAGAGACCAAGTGCCATTTTTAAACTTGCATCTGTCCTCTGTATGACGTTTTCTTTTGCAATATTTGCAATGAAATTTCTGAGTGCGGCAGTTCTCAATTGTGTGCCCTTCTCGATTGCAATGCTCACAATGTTTATCCTTGGGTTTGGTGAAAAAATTATATACGTCTTTGAAGTGCAGCAGCAATAGAGAAATTTTTTGTTAATTTCGACGTCATTTGTCTCTGTGTTTCCTCTTGAATAACAAGTGAATATGCTTGACGTACATTAGGAAGGGGAGACATCATGAGAATATTAGATCAAACAACATTATAGATACCATTTAGACCCATTAAAAATTGCATTACAAGGTCTTCTTCAATTTGATCGGTGTGCGCTTTAATTTGATTGCATGTGGGAGGTGTTCGAAATGTATCTAACTCATCCAAAGACCTTTGAGTTTTGTGAAATAGGAAGAAACATTCATGTTACCTTGTGAGAGTGAAGCCAGTGTTTTTTGAATCTGATAGTGCATTCTTTTGTGAAAATTGATCTTTATGATCTTGCCATTCTTGGTGAGGAGCTTGACATGGATGACTTCTTTAGCTAGAGCAGGTTCCACCGAATGAGCAAGTCATGATAAAATCATACTATTGCATTGATTCCACAATGCATACTCTGTTGGCTTATCTATTTCTGACGGTGGTTCAATTGATCCATCAATAAAATATAGTTTGTTTTTGGCAATGAGAACATGTATCATTGATTTGCTCCAAGATGGATAATTGATCCCAGTCAACTTGATTGGAACAAGCATGAGGCTGGGATGATCTGAATGTTGAAAAAATATATGGATTAGATGAATCCATATTGTTACTCTTATTGCTAGTGTTTCGATTTTTGGAATGATCAAGCGTTGATACCATCTTAGAAAAGGAGAGAACACTATATTTTGGTGAAGTATCTTTCTTTATTCACAGACTGATATATATACAACTTGATAGAAATCAATATACTCTATCTTTAGGTAAGAAATCGTGATCCCCAATTAATGAGATTTGATCTACATATTTCTCAACAATCTAGCTTCAAATGGGTTGAATCTCAGAGGAGATTAATAATATCAACATCTAAAAACTAAATTATAGGCCAAAACTTCGAACTTGATATCTAATATACTATATACATTGGATACAGGTGAAGAAGAAAAATCTTCAAGACATATTAGATTTTCTTAACCAAGTCTTGGTTTAGCATCAAAAGGACACCATAGAGCGCTCACCAAGTGCATAATGCTATAACCGTATAAAATTTCTTCAGACATTGATATTTGTATTATAGAGAAATGACTATTGTTTACTATCAACTTCCTTTCATATAATTAAAATTTGCATCAAATGAAATAAAAACATTGATGAATTACTAGTTAATATGTGGACCTTCTTGATCTTATACGAGGAGTGTTAACTTTGTCTAGGTTAATAATTCTTTTGAATCCACTTGGTAGTTCCAGGAATTGTATATTGAAAGTCACCTACAAAAACAAACACCAAGTTAGTTAAACAATTAACAAGAGTACTTCCTTTTCGAAGGGAATGTTATTTCACGCAAGTCTTTAATACTATGTACGTAGGCATTTGGACATGTGATATAGAATCATGTGAGTTTTTATAAAATTATGTGTATTTAGAAGCTTGTAGTCGTATACATTTATAGATAAAAAGACATGGAGATATGCCATTTTGATTAGTGCATGCAGCCTCTTAGTATATTCCGTTATATATCTTGTTTTATAAACTATGTTTTGCTCATTTGGTATGATTGTATAAGAAATGAGAAAATTTTGATAGTTTTCATAATTTATCGGATTTTCATTATTATTGAGAAAAAATAAAACTAAAGAAACTCAAATTGCATATCCAAACAAAACCTCTACCTCAAATCAATATTATTTCAAAATACGATTTAAAATCATAACTCCATATCCCAGGTCCAAATGATTCCTAAATAAAAAGTACCAATAAAAGTAAAATGATATCAAAGATTTGCACCGCGTATAAACGTGAGAGCTTTGATGTCTTCATCACACTCAAATAACTGCATATAAGGTGTGGGAAACTGTAGAGCTTTGACACCTTGAGCTTCAGAAGGGAGCTTTTACTTCGATTTAGCTCAAAATGGGATGGAAAAGTTTTCAGAAACTCATTCATCAGTGGAGAATTCTCAGAGGAGATGTCATGATTATCCAAGGAAAAGATAGAGGTGAGACTGGTATCATCAAGCGTGTCATACTTTCTCAAAACCGTGTAATTGTCGAGGGGAAAAACCTGGTCAAGAAACATATCAAACAAGGGCAAGGTCATGAAGGTGGAATATTTACAGTCGAAGCCCCGCTGCATGTTTCCAATGTTCAGGTTGTAGATCCAGTCACAGGGAAACCAACCAAGGTCGGAATTAGATACCTGGAGGATTGCTCCAAAGTAAGAGTCTCAAGAGGTATAGGAGCATCTGGTTCTATCATTCCCCGGCCCGAGATCTTAAAAATAAGGACCACACCAAGGCCTACAGTTGCTGGTCCTAAGGATACTCCAATGGAGGTTGTTATGGAGAGGACATATGATCCAAAAACAGGAAAAGGCATGCCAGATCTCTAAAGAAAATGTGGTGCAGAAGCTAGTACCTAATGCATTACTTTTGTGAGAACACTGTTGTTACTTATTTCATTTAAGAAACTCACAACGTTTGGCTTTAGACCAACAGAATTTGCTACCTCTCCTTTGTAACAGATAAATAGTGTTAATCGCGAAAATTATGGTATACTTAAAAGGTTTTTGGCAGTTGTTGAAAAAAAAAAATTGCATATAACTTTCCTTCAAGTCCACTTGCACAGCAACTTCAGAATGAATATTCGTATCATGCAACCATAACATTTGTGTATCTTTCATGCCAAAAAAATAGTAAGGCTGGTTTTCCCAAACCAAAATCAGTATCATGCAAAGGGAACATGCACATACTTGAACATAAAACTTTGTCAACTTCATCGTTCCCTCCCCATTCTGGTGATCTAACACTTTCATTATATATATTAACCAATGTTGACACTATTTCATCTGGTGAAGCTTTGGCACATAAAGCAACAACTTTATTCACCGTATCCCTGATTAATATTATGAAATTATGTAATTCCATCTTGGTCTCTCCTGGAATGAATTTTATCGGAACATCGATTCTAAAATTCCCCATAGAATTGTGCACTTGTGGTAAAGATGTTTTAGAGCGCAAATTCAATGGAAAGTCCATTAGAGAAGGCCTAACATACCCATGTATCGTTGTTGAAATATGGATTAAAGCCCTCCAAAGGAGTGTTGTAATTATTTCAACCCTTGACGGTTGAAAAGTCAAACCTCCATCTGATTCATCCATGCACTTTTTTCTGAGCCTTGACATAGCAACCTCACGGATGACAAATCTCTTAACAATAATATCTTTTTCTATAACTGGATCATAAGTTGACTTGAAAAGTCCTGATATATCTATTGTTGGAAAAATGTTACTCAAATCAAAGCTTAGAAAATTAATCTCCTCAACAAGAGTTCCCATTCTACACACTTTTGCCCACTCGAAAAGAAATTTAAAATCTGAGAAACCATCCATTGCAGGGTGTGAACCACTCAATGATATCGCTAGGCCACCACATTCAAACTCGGTTACTTGTGCAATGACAATAGGTGAAACCATCAGATTAGTTTCATCTACATTCTTATTTTCATGTGGCCAAAATAAACCCGCAAGACCAAGGTCCTTGCGTGTTTTCTCTAGCAAATTATCAAGCTTACAATTGACCTTTGCCTTAGTGTAGGAAACATCTGTTATCTCCTATATTCAGATAGCAAACCAGAAATAATAAAAGATGAAAAGAAAAACACAAAGAACTATCCGAGTCCACAGAACCCACTGTGTGTCCTTAAGAATTTAATCCCCTCAAGTACCCGACGTTGCAGATTAATTCCTCCCAAGATAAAATGGATTAACCGTTAAAGAAGTAGCGGTACCTCAAACTTCGATAATTTCAACGAACTCAAAATGACAGCAACGAATCACACACACAGACACGATCGATCGATTTTGTTTTGTAAGAAATGTATGCAAAAGAAGGGAAGAATTCGATGCCATAGTCACAACTCTTCAGGAGAGTCACAACACTTCATTTCCTGTTCACACCTTTAAAACCCAACAATCCCCCACATGAATAGGGAATGTCTATTGTTAAAACATATGCATGAAAAATTGTGTGATTCGTAAGTAAGGATTGATTGCATCTGGATAAGTGGGTTTCCCTTTAAACTTTCCGTAGTGAACATATATCGGATATACTCGGTCAATCGGTAGATTTGATATCTTTGAACCGTCGAGCTTTGGTGTATACCTAGACAACATAAGTCACACAATCAACCCTTGAACTGTTTTTGGTTCTCATTGTTTTGTTCGTTTCAGCCATGAACACGTCTTGGTTTATAAGTGCGTAGAGAACTGGCCTTATCGGATTCTCCTTGAAGCGGCTTACACTTCACACTTACATATGTGATTTCTAAATGTGTTATCCCATAGATACACCATTTGATATACGCTGTATCAAACTTAGAAATCATTAAAAAGTCCTAATGCCTTTATCCTTGTTACTGAACATTGTCTTATCATGAGAATGGACCATAAAAAATATTTTGACAATGTTGAACCGTCATCAATGACTTTGTTTGATCTCCCTAAACCTAGATCTTGGGATCTCCAGTCTTCTGGTAGAGTTACCGCCACAATGACTTGTTTTCGGCCATAGTCCCATTCCCTTTGATAATCTATCAACTCTCTCTCTAGTTAGGCCTTTTATAAGTGGATCCGACACATTATCCTTTGACTTTACATAGTCAATTATGATAATTCCACTAGAGAGTAGCTCTCTAACGATATTATGTCTACGTCATATATGACGAGACTTTCCGTTATACATATCATGCTCCATGCCATACCTATTGCAAATTAACTCTCACTGTGTATGCATACTGGAGCTAAAAGGTTTGGGCAAAAAATCTTTCAAGAAATTTTGGAGTCATTCAACTTCTTTACCAGCCTTATCTAGAGTGACAAACTCAGATTTCATAGTAGAGCGAGCGATACATCTCTTTGGAAGATTTCCAAGAGACTGCTCCTCCACCAAGAGTAAATACAAATCCACTCGTGGATTTTACTTCATTTGACCTGGTGATTCAATTTGCATCACTATATTCTTCAAATACTGTTGAAT